GTGTTTTAAGTCCTCCTTACTTTAAGTGAGCAAGATTGTGTCATCTACATAACAAAGATTATTGATTAGTCTTGCTCCAATCCTAATGCCACATTCTTTTTCAGAGTCCAGTGTCTCAAATAATTCACCCAGCATGAAGATTAAGTGAATAGACATAGAAATGGATACAACTCAGACACACACCTTTCTTAATGTTAAGCCTTTCTCTGTTGGCACAATACTTGTAGACAAATATACAGTTTTCTCATTTCTACCGAAAGACAAGAAATATTCAATTACATCTATAAATGTGATAGAATAGATTGTAGATAGTGTCATTTCTTTTTTTATAGAGACATGTTATGAATAAGCATCCCTCTAAATAAAAAAATAAGAGAGAAACAGAGAGCTCTGGTGGCCTAGTGGCAAGAAGCTGTGCTGCTGTACCAAAAGCACAAAATAAGAGGCTGCCAGCAGCTCCATGAGAAAAAGCTGGGCAAGATCTTCCCGAGACATTAACTGCCTTTGAAAAGTCACTGGAGGATCATCTATTGGTCTGTTCCTAATCTACAGTAAACAGTAAAACAAAGAAAAATTTAAGAAAGAACCAGTTAACTACAGACTATGTAAGACTGGCAGCTTCATGATGGGTGGAGAAGAGATTGAGATTGTTGACAACTTCAGCTTGCTTGGGTCCACAATCAACACTCTTGGCACCAGTAGTCAAGAAAACAAAAGGCAAATTGCATTAGGAAAGTCTGCATCAGAGACCTGTCTAGAGTACTAAAGAGCAATGATGCCAGTCTGGAATCTAAGGTGTGCCTGATCCAGACTATGGTCTTTGTAATTACTTGCTATGCACCAGAGAGCTAGACAATAATTAAGGATGATAGAAGTAGGATCTATGCCGCTTAGTTGTGGTGCTGGAGAAGAGTGTTGAACATACTGTGGACTGCCGGGAGAACAAACAAGTTTGTCCTGGAGAGGGTGAAACCAGTTTGCTCCCTGAAGGAAAGGATTTTGAGGCTCCGTCTCACATGTTTTGGGCATGTGGCCAGGAGGGACAAATCCTTGGAGAGGGACATCGTGTTTGGAAGGGTGGAGGGGCAATGCAAGAGTAGAAGACCCAGGATGAGATGGATTGACTCAGTGACTGGAACAATGGGATCGGCAGCTTTCAGAGCTAATGTATATAGGGTCATTATGAGTCACAGGTGATTCCATGGCACAAAACAACAGGCAGTGTAGAACTTCAGATAATTCATCATAATGACCTTTAATCAAAGGAAGAACTTCAAATACAGGAAGATTTGTAGTGTTCTATAAGATTATCCGTTTTTATAGTGTTAGACAACTTTTGAAAGATGAAATTTGTCTTGGACACTTCCCTATATCCAAATCTCAAACTGCATTGTCTTTTTACTGGTACCTGACTGTTTGAAGCCAATCTCAAAAGCAAACACGTGATTCTTTGCCTCTCTACCATAAAGTCACACCCTCTGTTGTAAAACTCTCCCAAGACTGACACCACATATTAAAAAAATTTAGTCTGGTTTACCATTCTTTCAAAGTTAAATTGGTTAACTAATACATGCCTTCTGTATGATTTAAGACTCAAACACCCAAAAAGGGTCAGCTACTATTGGTTCAACTCAAGATCATTGAACTGTTGTTTTAATCCATGACAGAGATGGCATATCCTTAAGAGGTTGTGTATTTGTTCATGTATTATTTCAACTCCTCACAGTTCTAAGGCATTTGCTAGGATGGATCCAATTCAACATTTTGTTGTCCATAGATATCTAACAAAGAGGTGCCTAACTCATCTATTTGTTTAGTGAACAAAGATGAAGTAACATAAAAGAAAAATATTAATATATATGCTATGTACTACAACAAATAGAAACAATTCACAAATTTTTCTAAACCTATAATAGACTCATTGTTTCATATGCTTTTTATAACTATTTCTACAAACTCTTGAATAAGGAGCTGAGTCTAATTCATTTAATAATGATTACAACACACTGATCTCATCATATGAATTGGAAAGATTTGTTAATTATGTCTTCATAATGGATAATTTAATTTCCTCTGCTTCATTAATTTACAATAAAAAAAAGATTTGTAGGGATTTGAATTTTAAACAGCATTAATGATAGGTAATTCCTAGAACACTCAATCTGTCTGGAAGGCACTATTGGTGATATAAAAAGATTTGTCAAGTTTTATCATTATTTAAAGCTATATATAATTTTTTTAAGCAACACATTAGTCTGAGAGCTAGAAAAACAATTTATTAAGAGACATCATTTGATATGTACTAAGTTTTACAAAGATTGTTGTTTTTTTGTTTGGAAAAGGATATTCTTATAGTATTTGCAGCAAACAAGATTATTGGGTTGTTTGTGCTTCTTAGATGTCATTAAATTGAATAAATATTTAGTATATGTGAGATTATTAGTATTCTATTCTTATCCTTATTTCTTAAAGCCTAAATATCACAGATCATCTCTGTGCCATAAGGCAGTCATTAATGACTTCTAATATGTTGTATTTTGAAATTTTAAAGTATGCTCTAAGAATGCCATTATAATGGTTGTTTAATATATAAGAAAATAAAATGCAGATTTGTCCTTTATCAAAGGTCACATAGGTTAATAAAGACCAACTTTGGTTTGGTTTGCTCTTTTCTTGTCTTTGTGTGTGTGTTGGGGAGGGGGGGTGTTAGTCTCAGTTCTCCTAAACTGTGCTAGCTTCCATAAAGCAGAATGAAGATGCAGATAGGTAGTTTATTAAATGATGCAGTTCTCTGTGAGGTGTTATTTACATCTTCATTTTCTCCCAGCAGTACTTATGGTAGAACCCAAAACTCCCAGCCACAGAATCAATTCTGCCTCTTTGCAACCTTCCATATGGTTTCGGAGGCTGTAAATCTTTATGTCAGGACACCCATGCTTTCTCCCATGAAGCATCTGGTGGATTCAAACCACCCACCTTTCAGTTCAAACTCAGAACTTGAACTCATTGCAGTTGCATTGGTTCTAACTTACAGACAGTCTCCATCTGTTTCTGAGGCTACAAATGACAAAGGGAAAATGCTCATTTTTCTCCTTCCAAATGGCTGGTGGATATGAACTTCCAGGGATGCACAACTTTCTATGGACTATGCCACCAGAGCTCCTTCTTAGCAGTCCCAAATAAGATCTCATTAAATCACCAGGGTTTCTTTATAAATAGAAAGATGAGTTCAATTGGGGGAATAAGGCAATGCCTTATAATGATTTGGAAGTCTGGTAATGAAAAGGTTTGGTTCCCAGGGATATTTAAGTATAATTAAATAAAACTTCTAATCTCTTCAGCTATGTGGCCAGGCAAAAGACCTATTTAAAGTCCAAGTTTACTTTTTTTACAGAGCCAGGAGGTCTCATTGCATTAGCAGAGCCCTCGTTATGCAAGAAAACCAAAACTTTCAGGCTTTCAGGAAATGCATGTGCTTTGGAAACAGAATTGAATTAGCTCTTCTCTGTACTCACTTTCCTCAACTGTACAATGCACAGACTTGACATTTAAGAAACAGCTATTGCTACTGGATTTTCCTGGTTCAAATGAGAGCAGAGAAGGTCACTTCCATAACTTGCTACATTCAAACAGTTAACAATGGCTGCTTTGAACTCTACTTTCCTGATTGACAGAAAAGCATCATCCAAGACGTTTATTTATCAAGCTTGGCAACATTCTTCATGGGTAGCACAGTGAAGTAAGTTCCAGAACACTGTGGCAATCTCTACCATTTGTGAGCAAGCAGTGATGGAAAACTATAGAAATTACTTCCAAATTGAAAAATTTAGTTATCATAACTTTTAGGCTTATTTGATAACTGCAAGTATGTTCATTTACACATCTTACTTACTAAACAAAATACAAGTACCTTAGCATTTATTGAGCAATAAATAGATTTTTTTAAATGCCATAGTGCTTTAAAAACATTGGGTTCAATTGCAAATCTTTGTTTTTCTCAGGAATTAGTTCACTTGCATGTTTCCCATGATCTGGTAATTTTTCTGTATTTAAGCACAATGCTGAATATTCTAGGAAGGGTTTATTTTCTTTTCACATATGCATTTCTTCAACTTAAACTAAATTATTTTAAATTAAAGGAACTGAAAAAGCCAATGACCGTTTTATTCTGGAATTATTTAAAAGGATCATTCATTAAAACCCGTACTTAGACTTTTGATGATTCCATTTTTCCCAAGCTCTTTTTTGTTCATGCTTATCGTTTATACTGGAGGAAAAAAAACAAAACAAAAAACCCGACACCAGGTTCTGTCTGGTAATAAGTTAATGCCATGACCTTGGCTGTCCTACTCATATTTCTAGAAGCAGCATTGGATTATAAGACACAATTCACTCTGATCACTAAGTAAATAATGTTTGTATATTAGGAACCATAGTTCTTTATCAAGAATAATAATGCTGCTCTGCTTCTTACAGGAAATGGAAATGAAAACCTCAACAAATGGATGCAACCTTTTGGAATGGCTCTCAAAGGGCAGTGCTGAAAATTGATCTGGTTACTTGTCAATTGAATTATTCAGAGATGACATCAGCACCAAAGCTATCGCCAAGGCTGGCTCACTGCCCATCCCATAACCACCTTTCATAAAAAAAAATAATTATTAAATAGCCCTCCATTAGTCCTGTTAATAATCAAGGAACCAGATTTCGTACAAACACCTGAATGCATGATTGCCAATGCTAACAAAACATTTCACAGCATATCATCATCCCCAGCGTCATTCTAGAGAAAAAACAGGCTTGAGGCTAAGACACTTTCTACTTTTAACATTTTAACATTTCCTTTTTAGTTTTGTTTATGATCCATTTTGTAGATTAGCAAGTTAAATTATTGCTAACTGAAATGCTGAGTTGAAACCTCGTGGCAACGACATGTTCTTTCGCAATTTTAAACAATTCTACTTTGTTTCATCAGTGTGAAAGTCATCATGCTTCTTTACCTGGGGGGTTATGATCATTGAGAATCACAAGTGATGCTGGGGTGGGTCTTCTTTTCCTGATCTGTGGACAACAAAGACCCAGTTAATGTCAGTGAGAATCAAGCACTGCCTTCAGTTTATTAGTCTACAGAATGTAAAACAACCGTTTCAGAATCTTTTCCCAACACCTAAGTGCACGTATCCAAGGGCACATAGTAGGCATTTGTGAATTTCATTTTAAAACAATAGAAAGCCAGATGTAGAACTGTCAGTTGTTAGTATGTCCTTCTTTAACAAAGAAGAATCAATCTGTATTTCCACAGAGGAAAAATAACTGTATAATGCAACTGAAGACGTGAAGATGACTTGCTAATTTTAATTTCTCTCTTGAGGCTTCACATTATTAGAAATGCTTTCAAGATTCATTTCTTTCTAAGCACAACTAACAATGCTTGGAAAATTTACATTTTTTAAAATTTTTTAAAATTTACATTTTTAACAGTAATGATTGTTATAGTAAATATAGTATTTTTTGTAATTTTGTTTTATTTTGGTCTTTTAAATATTATAGCACAATAGTTACACAAATTAACAAATAGAAAATAAATATATATCCTTGGAATATACAATACACTTAAAACTTAGACGGTTGAAAGAGATTGTTATTTTAAGAATTACAGGAGCATATTTTTAATTAGAATCTTTAAGGTCTTTGATTTCTGGACTATATTTATTCATTTATTCAAATAGAGTCAATATAATAAAAGATTATATTTTTACCAAAGACATTTGGTCAGGATAGAATCAAGATCTCATCCAGCATACAGGTATATTCAAGACGTGTTTATCTGGCCTAAGTCTGAGTGAATCTACTTCAAATTTTATGCTCAGAAGCCTTAAAAGTTATGAGTCTTAAATAAATGTTTCTGAGGCCATGTACCAAATATTTTTAAAAGGAATCAGCGACAATTTAAGTTTCAATAAATTATTGATTTAGACCTGTGATGTTTTAACTGTCTTTGTATTTGCCTATCTCACAAATATGTTTACCACAAAATTCTCTTTTAAGGGTACCGTTGTTGTTGTGTTGTTGATTGCCTTCGAGTCGAGCACGACTCATAGTGACCCTATGAACAAAAGGCTTGAAGCCCTTCTAAAACTATCAACATTTATCAAAGTTCATAGAGTTTCCAGAGGTATATTATTTAGCAAGTGGATGCCACTCCTGAATAAAAATAATCCAAGTAAATCTGAATCAAAAGGTGATGCAGCTGTAAACCCATCTCACATGCTTTTCATAGGTAAATTGTAAACGTGAGAGTGAAAAATGACAAAGATAGATATAGATAAAGATATAGGTATATATAAATAGATATATATGCATACATATAACTGATACAGAAGATGAATTCAGAAAGTGTTAAAATATTATTTAGAATTTTTTAATAAAATGTTTTAAAATTATAAATATATCTCAAAACCTTATCTCTGTCTTTCATTTGTTATGCAGAGTTAAAAAGTAATAGTGCTTTGTACACACAATGAGAAAAATATTGAAAATAAACTATAATCTTGAAATACTCCAGTATTAAAGGCATTAATTGTTATCCTTTTTATTTTACAAATAAAATGTAAATTCTGAGGGGTTTTTGTTCTTCAGTAATTGGTCTAAAATTTGCACCTGTTGTTTTTAAGAACCAAACCCTTATTTTCTTATCCAAATATATATTGCTAATATAACCAATTTTCCCTAATGGATAGTAATTTTGCATGAAGGATATTAATGTCTTTTAGTCAATAATTCCCCAAATGCAATTTAAATACAAACATGCAGATAGTCCAACCTCCTCATTCATATATTCTGAAAAAAATCAGAAATGTAGGCATCTTCGAGAGATATATCAACATAAGCAAGATATAGCAAGAATATATTCAGTGTTAATGTATACATGGCCACTGATTCCCTCCCAATTCTGCTTACCTGCTCAGCTGCTTCGGGTGCAATTTGACTCTGGAATAAAGGCACGGCAAATTGTATCTTTTTGGGACTGTTGGGCTCCATGATAATGATAAGAATTAGTAGGAGACAGAAGACCTCAGAAAGATAACCCCAAGTGGTGTCTGGGTTGTTTCCTCAGGCGCACTCCACCAACCCACACAGAGTGCTTGGTAATAAATAGCTGTAATTCCAGAGTGAGCGAGTGAAGATGCCGAGGTTTCAGTAACTCCCTTCTTGCACAACCACAGTGATGCCTGGCTTGCCTGTTCCCCCACCAACCCCTAGGATCCTCTCAGCACAATACAGAAAGGAACAATAAGCTAATTGTGCGCCTCTTCACTAATACACATGCCAAGCGTTCACTCAGCAGCTAATTGAAAATGCAATGCTAGCCTTGAAGGACCCACTGCCCTGGGATTTGAAAGAAAGGCTCTATCTACTGTACATTATTACTAACTGGCTGCTCAAAAGTGCAATGTCAGCTCCCTCTGAGTATTGCAGGGATGGACCATTTATTATTGATGAACTTAAAGCAGGAAGTTTTTAGGGTTGGAGGCAGGGTAGGTTATGGAGTCATTTCACTTCTCTTGTAGGAACTTGTAAGTCAGACACCTTTGCTGTTTCATACTCAACCACCAAATAGATTGATGGCCTTGAAATGCAGACCACAAAATCAGCATATATTTATATTGCAAGGTCTGATTAGGTTAGACTGAAAACAAGAGGCAGCACATTTGTTGTGAGAACCCTGTTCCAGGGCTTGGCAGATTTTAGTTCAAGTTCTAGTTCTGTCATTAACAAGCTCTGTGACTTCAAGTAAATCACAGGCTACCACTACTCCCCCTGCCTTCAATAGGAAAATGAGGGGGTTGGATTCAATGACCTTTAAGCACCCATTCTGTTCCAACATTCCATAACTGTAGTTTGGTTTTCATTAGAGTGGAAAATATCGGACAGCTAAATTTAGTAAATGTCTTAAAAGTCATTGCCGCTGTAATGACCTCTATTTCATTTTTCTGGTAGAGCCAGATATAGTGTCAGACTTGGATGAATAGAGAAATGGTTAGAAAGACTTCAGTGGAAACATACCTAATGGAATCCAGCATTGTGGTTTATTGTCACTAGGGGGAAGAAGTGCGAGCATAAGCTGTTGAGAAATAGCATGAAGGGGAAAACTCCAGAATGATGGAGGAGGATGACCATATTGACTCGCGGTCAGGGAAGAGGATACACTAGCCTGCTCTCCATGAGGGCTGAGGTCAAGAGGAGACAGCAAAAGGAGCCAGATTGCCAGCACACCTTCAATTACATGTGTGAAGGAGACCCGGAAAATGAAGGTATTTTAAAGAAATAACTACATTTCTTTGCTTTTATTTGAAAGGAACTATTTCATTAACATTCCATTTTTATACCAGTTTTGGGGATTGCAAAATACAATGAGTGGGCAACTACTATTTCAGAATGTTTCTTGATGGAACAGATGTCTATTCTCATCTACTAATTCAATGATTGATGATTCCAATCCATCTACCAAGGGCTCAAAAGAAAGCAGCTTGGCTACCTTACTCCATAAAGATCTATTGTTGTGAATAATCCTTGAGTAGATTTTGATTCATGGTGACGACATAGGATTCTGGCAGCTTAGTGGTATGGAATTACCATCAGTGCAAATGCACATAGCTTCTCCATGGGAGAAAGATGGGTAATTACTTCTCATGAGATTTACTGCCTCTGAAAATCTGCTAGAGTGTCAGTTATGAGGTAGTTCCAACCCAGCGGTACACAACAACAACAACAGTATACACATATCCAAGTGTATGCTGCACAGCATTGTCAAAGATTTAACTTTTCAGAAGCAGCTTCTGAGGGTGAATTGAACCACAATCTTTCAGCGGGTGGTAGAATTCTTAACTTCCTGCCACCTAGGGACTGCATGTAAGTCCAATTTGATTCATAATGACTTTCTAGCAGGTTTCCAAGGCTGTAAATCTTAACAGGAGGAGGCTGCTGCTAGTTTCAACCATCTTTCTTTCAACCTTTGGGTTAATAGGCAGAGAAAACCCTGTGGGGCAGTTCTACTCTCACACACTGATTTGTCATGAATTAAATACTCGACTTGATGGCAAAGAGTTTGATTTGGTTATGTTACTTTATGTCCTGTTTCAAGTGTTTATAAATTAAACTTTCCTTTTTTTTTCTCCCCCCTGCAGTACACTGATGATGCAGTGTTTATGCTTTCATGGACTTCTAAAAGAACAAACAGATATGTCTTGAAGATGATGCAGCCAGAGTTCTCCTTGGAGACAAAGATGATAAAGTTTCATTCCACATACTTCAGGCATAGTCCTAGGAGAGGCCGTTCCTTGGAGAAGGACATCATTCATGGAAAAACAAAGGAATGACAGAGGAACGGAAGAGTCTCAACCAGGTGGACAGACACAGTGACTGTAGTCTTTGGGTGTGTCAGAGATTGTGCAAATTGCCAAGGTAGGACAGCATTCAGATCTGTTATTCATAAGATCTCTGTGAGTGGTACTCAACAACACCTAAAAACAACAACAGCATATATTTCTCCATGGCTGAAACAAAGAAGAGGTTAGTAAAGCAAAGATACACTAAAATAGTTAGTCCAAAGGTTAATGAACCACAAGGCCTCAACTTCCATGATCCTGAGATGAGAAGTAGGTGTTTGCCAGATACTGTGATTACTCTCAACCAGTCTAGAAGAGACTACTGTAAAACTAATCACTGTAGAAGACCCTAGATAGAGTCAAGGGGAAAATGAAACAAAATGGAAAATGTAAAGAGGCCAAGTTTACTGGTTCAATAGAGACTAGAGAAACCCCTCAGACCTAGAGCCTTAATTATCCTTTGAACCCAAGACAATACTCACTTCTATGGCCAAACAATCCACAGACCTAGAGAGTGGCCAGTACCAGAAGGAAGCCATGTACTGCTGATAACAACCAACCATATAAAAACCAAAAGAAGTACATTTGCCCAAGGATAATGTCCATACGGCAGGAAGGATTAGGATAGAAGGATTAATGGAAAGGAGAATTATAGGAAGAAATGGGTAAAAGTATTTCAGGTTATAAAACAAAATATATGTGAATAGTTGAATGAAAAAATTGATCGTGTTTTGTATCATTCCACTCAAATCCCAACCCAAAAAACCACCTTAAAATATTATTGACAACATTAGTTCATTCTGTGTGTTACAGGGTCACTGTGAATGGGAAACAACTCAATGGCAGTAGGGTCTGGATTTTGGTTTTTCTCTTTTTAAAATTCCAATTCCTTACCAGGAATCCATCATAATAATTTAAGTATATGATATTCTGTGGAAAGAATATGAGAAACAGTATGCATTATTCACAAAGCTTTCTATATCCTGTGGGGCTTGGAGGAGTAAATGAAGACGTGGATGTAAAAGCACTTTTCAGTTGGAGAGCAGTGCTGAGTAGCAGGAAATTCTTTATCTCATTCTTACAGCGTAATTGTTCATCTTGCAGTAGTGAAAAGGAACTGTAATTACAATATTGCATAACAGTTTATAATTGTCCCCAGAAAGGAAATGTTCATTAATCTCATTCATAAGGTTATTTCTCTGAAAATTTCCTTAAATTAAGCAGAAGGGAAAATGAGTATATATTTTTGGAAATTAATTAATCCAAAATTCTCACTTAGTGTTTGTTAAGAGAATCTTCTTGACAATCTTGAGTTCTAATTCTTGCTCTACTACTGGTTGGGTTTATGAACTCTGACTATAATAGAGCAATTCTTTTTGTGAGATTTGTTGCTGTTAGGTGCCATTGAGTATGGCTCGTCGCGACCTTACGAACAACAGAGCTTCACCCTGTTTATCCTGTGACATCCTTAAAACCTCTGACATATTGGAGTCCATTGCTGCTGTCACTGTGCAAATTTATCTGGTTGAAGGTATTGCTCTCTTTCATTGACCTGTCTAGCTTCTGAAACATGACATTCTTTTCCAAAGAATACTCTAGCCTGTCATCATTCTGAAAGACTTCCAAAGAGGACTCTTGCTGCACCTTCTTCAAGACATATCTGTTTGTTCTTTTGACAGCCCATGATATATTCAGTAGTCTTCCTCAACACCACAGCTCAAAGGCATCAATTCTTATTCTGTCATTCTTATTCATTCCCCAGCTCTCAGACGCATGTCAAATGAAATGTGAGGTTTAGGTTCATTAATTCCTCAGTTTATCATTACAAGTTAAGCATCTATCAGTAAGAAATAGCTTTTAACCACATTCTCAAAAGGCTTGACTAAATATATATATATATCAGGAAAATAGGTGACAAGTTACAGTTCATGTATTTTCCATGGAATAAATTATAATAAAAAAGATTCACATTAGCCAATATTCCTGTTTTGAATCATTTGACCAGAAATTACATGAAAAGTTGCATAGATCTTGTTCTTCACCAGGTCAACTCATGTACATGCTTCAGGACTTCATCAAGAACCATTACTTCTAGAAAGCTTTTCTAAATATCCTACTACTATTGTTGCAGTTTTATTATCTGATCTATTTTTTACTATGAAAGTTTGTAGAAATGCTCAATTTCTTCATCTTTGGAATTAGTGGCTGGTGTATATCTTTAAACACTAATTATATTTAAAAGTCTGCTACCTACAACTCATGGTTGCTGTTAGGTGCCATCAAGTCAAGTATGACTCATAGCAAACCCATGAACAGATCTGAACCTTGTCCTATCCTGGGCCATCTTCACACTTCCTGACACACTAGAGCCCATTGTAGCAGTCACCTTGTCAGTCTACCTGGTTAAGATTCTACCTCTCCTTCGCTGACCCTCTACACTTCCAAGCATCATTTCTCCCTCTCTGTCTAGGAATAGCTGCTTCCACCACATGAACAAAGTGTATGAGGTAAAGCTTCATTATCCATACTTCCAAAGAGCACTCTGGTTGCACCCTCTCCAAGACATACTTGTTTGTTCTTTTGGCCATCCATGGGATGTTCGGTGATCTTCCCCAACATCACAGCTCAAAGGTTTCAATTCCTCTTTGGTCATCCCTATTCACTGACTAGATCTGAGACACATAGCTGTTTCAATTAAGAGGTGCAGCCCTGGATGTACTCACCAGTCTATGTGAGGAAGTTTGGAAGGTAGCTGTTTACCCAATGGATTGGAAGAGGTCCATATTTGTTCCCAAACTCAAGAAAGGTGATCCAATAAAATGTGGAAATTCTTGAATAATGTCATTAATATCACATGCAAGCAAAACACTGCTGAAGATCATTCAAAAGCAGCTAGAACAGAACATGGATGGGGAATTTGCAGAAGTTCAAGCAG